ATTGGCAGAAAATAGCATACTAAGACTGATAGCCATCATCATCGAGACAGTTGCATGTCTGCCCAGGTGCCCATGATTGACAGCCACTGCAGTACCACGACGATGGTTACCAGTCGTAATATACCATCTTCTACCAAAAGGCAAGGGGCTGGTGCAATGCAGCCCCACGGCTGCCAGCCCCACGGCTACCAGTCATGCTGCACCGTCTACTGCCAAAAGGCAGTTAGCTGCTGCTGCTGCGTAGCAATGCAGTACCATGTCTGCCGGCACCCAGATGACATATGGTGACGGTGAGCTGATCTGAGTGGGCTCTATGCTTGCCGTGGTATGTTGTCTGCACAGGTAACCCAGGTAAAAAGGCGTGAATCTATGGTCTGCCGGTGCTCTGACGGAGGAGGAGGGGCCTGACGACATGTACCCAGAACCCCCCGCGACACTGTTTTGCATCATTCAGGCATTGGGATCTCAACCCAGAATTCCAATGGGCGGCGGAGACTGCGGGAACTGTGGGATAGCTACCCATAGTGCGATGCTCCGGAAGTCGACGCTAGCCTCGGTACTGTGGATGCGGTCCGCCGACTAGAGCACTTAGAGCATTTTATGTGGGGACACACACAATCGGCTGTATACAACAGATTTCTATAAAACCGGCTTCTATAAATTCGACCTAATTTCATAGTGTAGACATACCCTTGCTTGAGGCAATCCGCCAGCATGTTTCAGACACCAGGGAGATGTAGAGCTTCAGTGTGTATGGCATGCAGTTCCACAGTCAAAGGGCTTCTTGAGAGAGGGCCGAGGACCATGCTCCTCCTTGTCTATTCACATAGAACATGGAGGCCCTATTGTCCGTCAACACTTGTAACACCTGATGGGACAGTTGCAAAAAGAACACTTAACAAGCCAACTGGATGGGCCTGAGCTCCCTAACATTGATGTACAGTACCAGCTCTTCCCGGGACCACCGCCCCTGGGTCTTTAGTGATCCAAGGTGGGCTCCCAGGCCCAAGTCCAACACGTCCAGCACTAGCACCATTGTGGGTTTTGGGGTCGCAAAGGATAGTCCTTCAGATATATTTACCGGGTTGGACCACCACTCCAGAGTAGTAAGTACTTGCAGCAGAACTGTGAGGACTCTGTCCAGATGGAGCCTGGCTGGGGTATAGACTGATGCCAGCCACATCTGGGAGTGGCCTGAGATGTAGTTGTGCATGTTGAACTACATAAGTGTTCGCCGCCATGTGCCCTAGCAGCCTGAGGCATATCCTGGCTGTGGTGATAGGGTGACTGGTGAGTTGGGTGATGAGACCTGACATTGCCTTGTATCTGGACTCTGGGAGAAAGGCCCTGACTTGAGTGGAGTCCAGAGCTGCCCCGATGAACTCTATTCTACGTACTGGGACCACTGTGTATTTTTGTTCATTTACAACGGACCTAGTGCTTGGCACATGGCTTGCACCAACTAGACACTGCACTGGACTTACGCCCGCAAACGACCCTTGATAAGCCAATTGTCTAGGTATGGGTAGATTTGAATGCCCTAGCACCTCAGGTAGGCTGTGACCACCACCATGCATTTAGTGAATACCCTTGACACAGTTGCCAGGCCAAATGGAAGCACTGCAAACTGGTAGTGGGTTTGTCCTACTACAAACCAGAGGAACCTTCTGTGTCCGTGGAAAATGGAAATATGAAAATACGCCTTCAAGTCAAGGATGGTGTACCAGTTTCCAGGGAGGGGATAATGGAGGCTAGGAGGAACTTCAACTTCTTGAGATAGCTGTTGACGCCTCGCGAGTCCAATATGGGGTGCAGACCCCTCTCCTCCCACCCCCGTTGGCCTTCAGTATCAAAGTACCGAGAGTAAAACCCTTTCCCCCTTAGATGTATGGAGATTTCCTCTACGGCTCCTACTCACAGGAAGGCTTGCACCGCTTCAGCAAGAAGTTGCTCATGAGAAGGGTCCCTGAAGAGGGATGGGGAAGGGTGGGGTAGAAAAACTGTAGGGTATACTCCACTGCTACAGTGCTGAGGACCCACCGGTCTGATGTTATAGTGGCCCAAGTTGGGAGGAAAGGAAAAAGGCTGTTTGAAAACAAGAGGGGTGCAGGATTCTGGTTGCAGACTAGGAGGTCAGCCTCGGGCACATCCTCAAAGTGCCTGCTTGTTTCCAGGCGGGAAGCAGGAGGAGCCCAAGTGGGAGGAAGGGGCTGATTGTTGGCCTTGACAGCTCTTATAGTTCTGGCCCTTCTTGTGGTAGGGTTCTGGTCGTGCCTGACTGCTTGGTCTTTGAGGTTACTGCAGTCTGAACCTCTTTCTAGTGGGGGCCAGTCTATAGAGACCCAGGGAACATAGAGTAGCCTTAGAGTCCTTAAGCCCATGTAACCTCGTGTCTGTCTCTTCTGCAAACAGAGCAAGACCATGGAAGGAGCAGTCCTGGATTGATTGTTGAGCCTCCATCAATAGCCTGGAAGACAGCAGCCATGATGCTCATTGACACAGCCATAGCAATGATCTTAGGCGCTGAGTCCACCGTGTCAGAGGCAGCCTGAAGGGATGCCCTGGCCCCGTTTCTCCCTTCATCTAAAATGGGCAGGAACTCTTGTCTGGAGTCTCCCGGTAGCAAGTCCACGAACTTGGCTACAGACTGCCACACACTGAAATCATACCTCCTGAGTAAGGCCTGATGTTTTTCCAGTCATGATTGGAGGCTGGCAGGTGAATAAGCTTTTCTGCCAAATTAGTCTAGCCTCTTGCTGTCTTTGTTTTTGGGAGTTGGGCTGGGTTGCCCATGCCTATCCCTCTCGTTGGCCACAGAGACCACTAAGAAGTTCGGAGCTGGGTGGGAATATAAATATTCAAACCTCTTTGCTGGGATGTAATACTTCCTCTCAGCCCACTTGGAAATAGGCGGGAAAGGGGATGGAGTCTGTCATAAGGCTTTCACCAGCTTTACTATCCCTTCGTGTACTAGGAGCACCACCCTAGACAGGGTCACCACAGCTAAAATGTCAAATAAAGTGTCAGAGTTCCACCAACTTCCCTGTTTCCAATCTTAGGTTTGCTGTCACTCACTTTAGCAGCTCCTGGTGTGCCTTAGCATTGTCCTGTGGCACTGCCTGGGATGGTCCCGCCACTGCCTCGTCAGGTGAGGATGACGAGGAGATGAGGGTGGGGGAAGGGGCTGGCTCAGCATTCCCTGCATGGCAGGCCTCCACTGAGGCCAGAGGGTGCTCCTGGGCACTTTGCTCAGAACCTGCCTCCGAGTCCAAAGGGGGCGGAAGACTGTCACTGACCTCCTCTCTGATGCCCCAACCCTGAACACTACATGTGGGTCTCCGATGCCTGGGGGAACCCCCACAGGTTCCAACAGTACCACGTTGTGGGCCATTGCTCTGGCTGGTGGCCCGATCTGGCTGGGTGCACCCAATCCGAGAGACCCACTATCTCCTCAGCCTCCAAGCCAGAGGAGGAAAGTTCCTGACTTGGAGACCATTGCAGTGCCAACGCTACGTCCATATCACCTCCACACCTACTATCCCAGCATCTGCAATTGGGGCTCAGGGTCCCAGTGCCGCCTGTCTGGGGGCCAGTGGCAGAGCTCGGCGGATCAGCAATGGTACAGTGGCGATCGACGGCTAAAGCTCTGGGAATGGTGCTGGGTGTCCGGCGACCAAGAATGAGATGGCAGAGAGCGCCACCCCGACCCCTGGGATCAGTGCCATGAATCCGGCAATCTGCGTCTGGGTGCCGGGGACCGGTTTTATGGTCCCAGGGATCGGTATCATGGTCCTGGTTAACTTCTTTGCCCCGAGGAGCGATGCCCTTGCTCCAATGACTAGTGCCATGATTCCAGGGACTGGTGGTGTGCTACTGCTCTGTGCCGACCATTGTGCAAGCGATGCCACATCTCGGGCGACCGGTGCCGAGAGTCTAGCGAATGGTGCCGGGAACTCCGGTCAGTATGAGCAGTTCGGAAACACATCCCAGTGATCACTGCTTCGATATCGACCACCGCAGTGCCGGGGAGCGATGCCACCCAGACAGAGCCCATTGCATGGGCCCCAGTGCTGGGCTTCCCTCTAGAGATGGCTAGGTCTTGACGAGGCGTCTGTGGCAACGGCAAAGACATGATATCTTTTGCGGCCTCGAAGTCCGCCAGCATGGATGGGACCTCTGCCACTACCCAGGGTGGCTGGTAGGTGGGTCCCTAGGAGGGCTGGATAGCCTAGCCAGCGATGCACATGCCTGGCTGGGCTCTAGAGACATGTTGCCCCACACAGGCCTATGCTGCTCTCTGGTCTCTTTTCAGGATGGGATGTTGGGAATACCCTCTCCCGGTGTGCTTCCTCTGCTTCTTAGCAAGTACCAGGGACTGGTATTGGGAGACCAGTGCCGGCGGTGCACTTCGCACCAATGCCACTGTGCTCAGTGCAGAGTCCAATCTTGGTGGCTCAGAGACCGGCACAAGGGTCGATTCTATGAGGAGCGCTCCAAGTCTTATGTCCCGCTCTTTTTTAGTTCTTGTCTTGAAGCTCTTGCAGATGCAATATTTATCACTAACAAGGGTTTCCCCCAAACACTTCAAGCAGCTTTGATGAGGGTTGCTGATTGGCATAGGCTTTTTGCAGCCATCACAAAGCTTGAAGCCCGGGGACCAGGGCATGCCCCATCCCTGGGCTAAGTCCTTTAGGGGACTAACTAACTTATCTACAGTACTATTAGCTAACTATTAAAAGAACAAAAAGAACTACTTATCTCACGAACTATTTACACAATGAATGAATAATAGGAAGAGTACTTTCTGAAGCAAGGAGATGTTCCAGCACCGTCACTGGCAGTAAGAAGAAACTGAGGGAGGGAGAAGCCGGAGGAGCCCCTTATATCGGCACATATGCGTGCCACTCCAGAGGGCATCAGAGCTGGTCCCCTACATATACCACTGAGGAAAAAACTTCCGGCATTGGTGCATGTGGCAAGCACACACACCTAACATGGATGGACATGAGCAACACCTGTCAAAGAACTACTACGATTGTGATATGAGGCAATCTGCCTTATACTCGGTCTTCCAGTGTCCATATGCCCTATTCCCTGAGTGTTCTTCACTATTTCCAAAGGCAGAATGTGTGTGTGCGGGCATGTATGTATCATAACTATTCACTTCCTGGTTTTCATAGGTTAGAATGTCACTGAACTCATTTTGGAAGGGTGTGAAATACCACAAGCCAACCCTAACTATGTTAAGTATTTTGTCAGCAAATACCAGTTTGTTTGTTTTTTTAAAACAGAAAAATCTTTTTGTTGTCAATAACTACAGCTACCTACGTGACCATTATGTAGGTTGGCAGTTGAGACTACTGTGGCAAGGCATTAGTACACATCTAGACAGCTTAACTTTTTTGAATAACATTTTCACTATTACTTCCCCTAAGGGCTGGTAGGTATTCTACGGTAGCTAGGCTAAATGTTGAGTGACAGACAGACATTTGGGGCACAATCAGAGACATAGTTTGATTCCCAAGTCTACACAAAGCCATTGGTAGAATTCTACCCACCATCCTCATGAGGCATACCAAATTTCAAGGCAATTCAAGTAAAGATGGGGCTTTTAGAGCACTAAGAGCCAACCTTTAAACAGAAAGGGCTTCCTCGCCTTAACTAAAGCAGAGCTGCTGCTTTGCTGTAACATACTGTAGCATCTGTACCAGAGCTGCTTGTTTGTAACCAAGTTATGCCACTATCTTAACTGTGACAAATACTAACTGGATAGGTTGTTTACTTGGGCCGTGAACTTCCTTTCATATAGCTGAATCATGTCTACCACTAACAAGATAAAGGCTCATTCAAAGTGCGATGGATCTTTTAAGAATGGAGGCTCAGTTACATACTCTAGACATCCTAACCTCAATTAAAATCTAACTTCTCCTTGAAAGACTAAATAAGCTTCGCTTTCACATTATCTGCAGCTGTAAATTCTACAATAACATCTACAGCACTTTTATCTTTCTCTGGGTATCCTGTGAAAGTATCTACAATAATTCATATGTCTAAATTAATCAGCTGGGCTAATTTTGATTGCATAATAAACGTAGTAACATAAGATGCACTTCAAACATAGACCGGTTGCATCCATCTGTTCCTGTGCTAGTGTCTTAGCAGTCAAGACAGGCGTGGACATTGTAGGTTAATTGTTTGTCAGAAATGAGTGGATGAATTCTAAGGCTCTCTTCCTACTGTTTATGTTTACAATATGCATATACTCCCTATGAATGATTTGAAGATAGTATAGATGATGCTTTTTATAGCCACAGTAGCAGCATTCAGTCTTCCAGTGAGGTTGCTGATCACATATTCTAAATGCTGTGTAAAATGCCTTAGCTCAACCTTAACATCATTAAAATCCTTTGGTAAGAACAAGCAGTGGGAGGTCATGCAAGTAGTTGCAACAACCAGGACCCAATCCCTTTACAGTTACTGGATTTAAGACTTATTCTATCTCTGTCAAAAGTTATTGATATGTCTTTACTATACTAGTTTGATTCCAGTTACAAAGCATCTATTGGCCTATTCACCTCAGCAAAAACTAATCACGGTTGCTTGCCCTTGACAACCGCATTTACGATGCTCTGGGCATCACAGTACAATTTGACAAACTAGAGGTAGCTGAGAAAAAACAGTTCCAAAGGAGATGGAAGGATTGATTGACAGTTTAACTAAAATGACTAAAGGGAGAGATGTCTGACTCTTTGAAGAACGTAATTTAGGATGGAATTCTGAAAGCATAACAAGGAACAGTGAAAAAATTAGGAAAGAAAATTTAAGCTGAGCAGGAAAAGCTTCATCACTTCACAAGGGAGGCTATTCTTGAGAGGAAGAAGCCCCATCATTTGCAATTGAACATGAGTTTGGAGACGTCTTTAGGAACAAGCCTCTATTACCAGAGATGGGCTGGATTATTTACTAGGTTTTACCCATCTCACCTTCTCTCTTCATAGTAGAGATGGGAGAGAAAAATATGTTCAGAATGGCAATTTGCAACACATTCATTTAAATGTTTCTGGATATTTACAGTAGGTTGTATGTGTGTATATGTAGAGAGAGAGAGAACGAATGTGCATAAACTGGTATAAACCAGATCAGATGCCATCCCTATTTAATTTTAAACCAGCCATGTTAGCAGTAGGGGTCATGTACTGCACTAGATATTTGTCATTGTCAATAGTAACATCTCCCATTTTGGATCAAAAACTACTGCCTCTACTCATGATATACAAATATAAAACAGTAGCATTCTTTTTCAATTAATAAGCATTTAAAGAGATGTGATCTTAACCCATTTATTGTTTATGCACAATATGGGCCAAGTCTGGTTTTAGTGAACTATTCAAAACCAGTGGGTCACTTCATTTGTTTCAGCTTCATGTTTAAATGTAATTTTGACAACACTATCAAAAGCAAAGTTTATTTTCAAGACAATTAGTATTGAGTTTGTAAATAATATAACATAGCATAATCTATAATACTTCCATCAACAAACTCCATTTTTCTTACTGGTGATCTATACAGTATTATCATGTGAAAAATATACAAAATGTCCCTGGAAAAGGTGAACTTACATCAACAAGATACTTTACAGCCACTGCTACAATGTTTAAGTGGCTGGGTTGTGGTAAGGCACTAGATTACTGAACTGAGGTAAATTTGTATAGATCTGTGTTATGCAAGCCTTCTGTACATACACAGTTGATTCCAATAAAGCGTCAAGGGTGTAGTGAGAAATGTATCGATGCACATATTCACAACCTAGAAATAGGAACAGTCTCAGAGCTTCTGGTGTCTTTATTGCCCCAGCTTTTGAAAGTGAAGTAAATTCTTTCCCTGCTAACTAAAGAAGTTAATGTTTTAATGTAATCTGTCCAACCTTATACAAATATTAGCCACAAGGCATTTAAGGCTGTTAGATTTTCTACTCCTCTCAAAGTACTAGTTCTCCAAAGTTTGTCCTTTGCAAATAGACTAGTCATGGAAGCATCCTTTTAACAAGGAAAAAAATTTAAAAGTCACTCTTGTTTTATAGAGAAAATTATGCCTGCATTGCACTATTAGTAAGTCACAATGTAAGAATATTATTCAGTAACCGCTATTTCCATTGAGGACTATGATAAAAACTGAATTTGTATACACTTCCCACTGTCAATTCAGTTTAAGGAGCTATGTACTTATAAATTAATCAAAATGACACTTTTGGGACTCTGATTTAGCTGGTGTTTCACAGTATTAGTACTAGAACCACATCTGTCCCTCTAAGTGCTAGTATAAATTAGACAAATGTGAACAAAATAGGAAATCCACTTTCTGGAATTTAGCAAATTGGTACTGTTAAAGGCTATTTACTCATAGCATTCAGTCATCTTCTAGTAAAAAGAAAGTGTTAGCTACAGACAGTCTTCCGTGCCTTATGAAAAAAAAATTGTATTTACAACTTTGTAATATGAGCAATGTTGTAACTTATCCATTTGTCCTTGTTGCTATGCGGATATATGGGTCTTCGCATGTGCTTCTTGGACCTCCTTGACCATCAGAATTCTGGTCAACATCTGCTCCATCACATCCACTTTCACAGGCTGAGCAGAGTACCAGATAGGACTGTTTGGTGCCACGACTGGTTCAGGGACCAGATAGAAGGTATCACTTGGCCCTTTGACACCTTGGGGGCTATAAGGAAAGTTTAAATTATACCAAGCAACACACTACTTAGTTATACTCCTTTTAATAGTAAAATTAGCATTGACTTTCTTCTTTATTATGTAATAAGATATGTGTGGGAGCAAATATAAGTTGCTAGCTTTAGGCATTCCTCTTTGAATTAGCAGTGATCCACTCTTGCCAAACTCAGACTGGAATAGGTGTTTGTGGTGTGAAGCCCAAGTATTAAATGAGGGAAGTCAATCATTATAGAAGAGAAAATCTTTCCCTGTGAATTGCTAAAGTTGTTTAGCTAGTTTGATGAAACGTTGTTGAAAGCCATCAAATGTTTAAAACTAGTGTAGAAAATAAGTCCTTAGAGCCTTACCATTTAAAGCAATAGAAATCATACAATTTTATGGGGCACTGCAAAGGGTTGTCTGGGTTTTCAGGTTGTTCCACATAAGTCTCATCTGCAAATCAAAAAAGAGGCAAATAGCGTGCAGTGAGTTCACAACACAGCATTTAGTTTCAATAAAGTATTTTTACAGATGAAAGTTTTTGATCAATAGTACACCTCTACCCTGATATAACACGAATTCGGATATAACGCGGTAAAGCAGTGCTCCGGGGGGGGGCGCACTCCAGTGGATCAAAGCAAGTTCAATATAACGCGGTTTCACCTATAAAGCAGTAAGATTTTTTGGCTCCCGAGGACAGCGTTATATCAAAGTAGAGGTGTACTATTTTAAACAGTCTTATTTCAATGTGGCTCCTTTAAATAAAGTGTTTTTATAGCAGCTGAATATTTCAACAACAGGCACGCCACTATTGTAGTATAGAGAAACTTACTGCTCTTGCCAGTGTCTGACCTAGTCTGTGGATAAATGACTTACAGCTTAGGAAAATAAAACCAATCTGGTATGTTGTACTAGCAGATAAATGTTAGCCATACTGATCATTAGCATACACAATTGTATCATAGGAAACAGAGGGTGAAGCTCATGCAACAGTAAAGTACTTCCTGCAGACAGTGGCAGCTAAAAACATGTAGCTATAAAAAGGTATACGGAAAGTTGTATGGCTGACCTAAAACATAAGGATTTAACCTAATAAAAACAAACAGTTCATGTAAAAAGTTATTTACCAGTGATGAGTTTTCTGAATATATGAGGTGAAATCCTGACCTCAGTGACGTCAACGACAAAAGTCCTATTGATTTCAATGGGGCTAGGATTTCATTTGTTGTGTCTGCAGAACCCCATCATAGGTTTTGCAGATCCAGTCTAAAGCAGCAGGGCCGGCTTTAGGCACCGCGGGGCCCCAGTCGAAGGAGCTGCCGCCGAAGTCCCGCCACTGTCTTCGGCGGCAGCTCAATCGCTGCCACGGAGGAAGGACATCCGCCAAAATGCCGCTGAAGACAGCGGCAACAATTGAGCTGCTGAAGACAACAGTGCCGGGACTTCGGCGGCAGCTCAATCAGCTGCCGGTGCCTTCGGCGCAGGGCCGGCTCCAGCATTTCTGTCGCC